GTGCCCATGAATAGAGGGAGGACTCAGAGAAAGGAAGGCAGGGCAGGGCAAGATAGCAGCCAAATAAGGTCTGCAGCCTCAGCCTGGACTCAAAGGAGCACTGGGCATGAGTGCTGTCACAGTGTGATGCTTCTTGGGATGTGGGTGCTCTTTGCTGTCCTTTTGGGGTTGCTTGCCAACACAAAGAGCAGCTAGGGAGTGGTGTAATGACTGGTAAAAAAAAAAAACAAACTCAGGCAGGGCATCAGCAGTGTCTACAACATGCCCCTGGGACAACCAGGGCTTTCAAACTACCAACAGGCCCAGTTAGCAGCCAAAACACACTCCCCAAGATCGTGTTGGTGCTGGCCGAGCAAGGGGCACTATTGGTGTTAGGAGAAAATACTCCTTCTTCTAAGATCTGATGGTTTTGTTTGCATGTTTTTTCTTTGGTAGTTTTTTCCTAAGCAAAATATACTGGAAAATACAATATGAGATCCATGAAGCATACTGGAAAAGGGATGGAGGGAGAAGTGACCAATGAAATGTTTTAGGTGTAAGTGACTGGGATGACAAAGATTTCATTAGCAGAAATGGATGATACTCACATTATTTTCCTGTGTCTGAGATTCTCTCTAAAGCCATATCTGACCTGCTGAGGACCTTCCCCCAAGAACCCAATCCCCAAAGTATTAATTCACCCTTTCCAACCAAAAGCCCCATCAAAAGTCATCATAATAGAATTCTGACCAATACTTATTACTTCGTATTATAAATCTTAAAATACAGAAGACTCAGTCTCTTCATTTCTACATAGAAGAAAAGAGGTAGGGAGACAGGGAGATGAACAGAGAGAAAAAGTGGGAGAGGGGCAGAGAGAGGGAGAGAGTCTGGGAAGGCACAAGGAGAGGGACAGGGACAGGACAAGGATAGAGGAAGAAGGACAGGGAGAGGGAGAGGGACAGAGACAGGAAGAGGGAGTAGGATAAGGAAAGGAAAAGGGAGAGGGGCAGGGACATAGGGAAACAGAGAGAAAGGGAGAGGGACAGGGAGAGGCACAAGGAGAAGGATAGGGCCATAGGAAGAGAGAGAAAGGGAGAGGGATGGGGGAGAGATAGGGAGAGGGAAAGAGAAGGAGAGGGACAGGGAGAGAGGGGGAGACAGGGAGAGGGAGAAGGACAAAGAGAGAGAGACAGGAAGAGGGTGAGGGACAGGGAGGGTAGACAGGGAGAGGGAGAAAAGGAGAGAGAGTGATAGGGAGAATGACAGGGAGAGAGAGGGAAATCAACAGGGAGAGGTAGAGGGAGAGGGACAAGGACAGGGTGCAGGAGTGGGGCAGGGAGAGGGAGGGAGGGAATCTGGTAGAAGCCATCTCATTTTTTTGAAACTCGGCTGGCACTTCTGCCTAGATTCTATAGGAAAGAATACAGAGGCTACTTCTTTTGGGAGGAATTTCAGTCATGTAAGAGCAGGTAACATGAGAGGTCTATAACAGTTTGTCCACACATGACTATGAAATCTGCCATAGCACTTGCTGGAGATGCAAGGTAGTAACAGTTTTTGCATGCACATGCTGTCTTCCCGAGACTGGACACTGTGGGTGTCAATTTCTGCACAAGCTTCACACACAAGGCAGTTCTTTGATTTTGACAACAAATGTTGGCAAGGGTTTGTCAGCATGCTTGTCCCAAAATTTAAAAGCTAGGTATTGGAGGAATTATTGGCAAATAAGGAATGTGCTGTCAATGCAAAATGCCAAAGCATTTTAACATTTCTGAATGCTTCTTTTGTGGTCTGTCCTACACTAAACACCACATATTGTTTCATTAGCTCTTCACATCAACACAAGGAGATATATATTATTACTGTCCCCATTCTACAAATGAGGCAGCTGAGCGTCAAGGAAGTTAACTCACTTGCCACAATCATTCTGCTAGTATAGTAAGGCACAGAAGTTACCGTATTTTGCCATGTATAATGTGCACTTCCTGCTCACATTTTTGAGGGGGAAATAAGGATGTATATTATACATAGGTAGTACTAATTCTGTATCTATATAAATATTTTTAATTCTTCTATTTATGCTTATGCATTAAAAGTGTAACTCTAGGCAGCAATAATGATATCTGTATGCAAAATAATACCTTGGAATATGATAATTTGTTTTGTTTCTAAATATAAATAAATAAAAAACTGAATTGAAAAATTAAAAAAGGCTTTTTCCTGAAAGTTTGGGCCCAAAACATGGGTGTGCTTCATACATGGGAATGCATTACACATGGCAAAATACTGTAAGTTACAAAAGTACCTTTATGTTTATGGCCCAATTTAAGATAGTATTTTGAAAAGGAATTTGATGGCTCTTAAAACTGAGATATCCAAACTTCAGGGCTGATTTCATCCCCAACATGTCATCAAAAGTTTCATTTCTCCTTATCTCTCCTGTCTGTCTCATCAAGGGGCTTCCCTCTCAGGGAATAATATGGCTGCAGCAGCACAATCCACACATCACATGTACAGAAGGGAAACAGAAACAGCATCTTCCCTAAAATCCCCTATAAAATCCTCCAAACTTGGTAGTCCAAACTAGGCCCCTCACCACTCCACAACTGTGCTCAGGACATACAGTGCCTGTGTTTTGCTCCACAGAGCCAGGAATTTCTCTAACCTCCCAAAATCAAGGACCAGAGTGTTTTTAGAATAAAACATACTTGCTTCTAAGAGTACAGGAGTGACTTGTTAGAGGGGAATAATTACAACTAGAATGTTGTGGACCAGTGATTTGGACCCAGACTTGTCTATTCAAATAGTATTTATTGAGTTCTTGCTATGGGTCAGGCACAATTTTAGATGATGGCAACACAAATCAGAAAGGTTCCTGCTCTCCCATCATCCTGCTATTGGCTCTGCTGGCTCTCAGGGCTAAAGCCTTGCATTTTTACTAGATCTTGGAGCTAGACAAATGTTCTCCTAACCAGCTTTTTCAGCTTTGAAACAGGTCTCTCAGCCTCCTCATCTGTAAAATCGGTAATAATGATATCTCCACTAAAGTCATTAAAAACTAAATTTTGGGTTCCAAGAAGAAATATGGCCATCTGCCAGGAAGGGGTCCTCCTGGTTAATTGGCCTCAAATTCATAACCCCAATCTGGCAGCCATTGCTGACAGAAGCCTCTCATGCACACTGCATGTCAGGGAAGCACAGCAGATCAGGCTGCCAAGACTTTGTGCCATCAGAGCCAACCTTTATAAGGAAGTTTCTGGAATCATATTTTGACCAATGGGCCTGCCTGCCTTGTTCAATCAGAACTGTGCAGCTACATCCTCATTTACATGTTTACCAAACAATCAGAGAATCTCCATAAAGGTCAGTTAGGATGCATAATTCCAACCAATCAGGGCAGTGCTATGTGGACCAATCAAATTGTGTGGAATCCAATCAAATTTGGATTCACCATTTGGATAGAAATGGACTAATCAGGGACCAGAACAGACACTCTCTCTAAAAGAAGTGTGCCTTCCCTTTGGGAGGGGGTGGGGAGCACACTTTTTGGTTTCCTCCAGTGGCTGTATTTCCCAAGTTTGCAAACTGTTCACCTGAATAATGTCTCTCCTTTTACCTACCCCAGACTGTAGATTCCTGTTGGCACTGGGTTGGTGGCAAGGGCCATTTGTTAATAAAAAGGGCTATGTGGGAAAAATGAGGAGTCAAAGCAGTAGACATCCCATCAAGTGGGCATGTAATAAGTCAACTCTCATTCTCATTCCATTAATGCTATGATTTTTTTTGTATATTACATCCTAATTTTATTGTTTCAGGCTTTAGAAAGACATTTTAGTGTCAATACTCTCCGTAGATGCTAGTTTACCTCCTCTACTCAGCAGACAACTTAGTTTTTTATAATCTCAATTTTTCACCTACTGATTTAAGTGGGTGGGAGGGGTCACCCGTGTTAGAAAGCCCACCCAGTTTCTAAATATGTCCTGAAGTCAGAGAGCAAGAATTCTTAGAATGCAAGCAAATGTATGCCATTGGGTAGTTAACGAGGTATGAGCTGAATGCATGCACACTCTATGGATGCAGCAACATCAGTAAAAATTACATGCCCAGAGGGATCCCACAGATTTGCAAAGAACTATTCAGTCTTTCAGGCCAGTAGACAGACATGCGAATCTTGTCTGAAAAAACCAAAGTTTTAAATTTATGCTGTAAACTATAAGTTTCCCGAGTCCCATAATTGGTTGCATTCTATTGAGCCTGCTGTTTTCAGTCCAGGTTCCACATTAGCTGAAACGCAGCTAGTTTCAAAGACAGGGAACAGAAAGAATCATATACTAACCACGTTCTGAGCCAGAGCTGGAGGTGGTCTTCTTTGGCCCTTAACTCACAGGACACAAAAAGGTTAAGTTTCCCTATTTGGCATACTTTGGTTACCTCAACCCCAACCCACACCTTCGACTCTTGCACTTCAGTTTAATTTCCGATTTAACATAAATTGGTTTTCCTCAATGTGTACTTGATTGCCTAGAACACAACAGACGCTCTGAGCGCTTCACTCACAGACTCGTGGAGTCTCCCTGGTGGCCCCGCAGGACATTCTGATTCCCCACATGTTATTTTTGATGGAAAACGGGGGCGGGGAGGGGGGACATTGTGAGGGTGCACACACATTCCCCCATTTCTCATCAAGCCACCTCCTCCAGCAGGAGAGCTGACCCCTCACCCGCAATCTTCGTTCTCCAAGGACGGAACTTGGAAGTTTTATCCAATCAGGAATCCTACCTAACCAGTTGGCCGGAATCTGTGATCCGGTTAGACCAATGAAAACTCCAGTGATGATTTGCAGTGGTCTTCTGGGAAAGCGCCCTTCCCGGAAGTCGCCATCTCCTTTGAGCCACACCTAGGTGGAGCTAGCCTCCGAGAGCACCGTCCCACTGGTTGGCACAGCTGCCCTTTACCGGGACGTGGGAGCGGGCGGGGTGGGGGGGGTCTCCTGAGCGCAGAGCACCTTGGCAGCGTGGTGGAACCAGCGCAGGGTAGTGTCAAGTTCCCGTGCTCACAGTTCCTGCCGCCCAGGCGGGGCCTCTTCTTGAGAGAAGGGGCGAAGGGAGATTCTTCCGGTCTGTAGAAACGAGCCCGCCTGGCGATCTTCAGGGGCGGGCTCTCTGTAGAGCTGTGACCCGCGTTCGGGTCGCCGGAGAAGGGCCAGTGCAACCCACAGTGACCGGGGTGACCGAGGTCGCCACCCACGCCAACCCCGGCCTTTGCCGGCGCAGGTAGGTGATCCCCTGCCGGGCACTTTGAGGGACTCACTAGCTATCTCTCATGTGTGTCTCCCACGCACTCTCCATTGTCGGAATTAAGCCAGGTTTTTATCTTTGTCCAGGTGGCAGCATTTTAGTTCTGTATCAGGCTTTGGCCTGTGCGAAAGCTAGATCGTAAATTTGCATGACGACGAAGTGTCCCTGCAGAAGAGCAGGTATCGGTCCAAAAGATGGCTGGAGAAAGCGTGCTTTATCTTGTTTGGGTAAAAGCCATTCACTACCAGAAATGAGGCCTGTTTCATATTTTCTGGACCAGCTCCAAAGAACTATACGGCGGGGACCTTAGAAAGCGGCGACCTTCACAATCTCTTATTTCACTTCTTTTCGGTCTCGTTATCTCAGATTTGATGAACACGAGTTGGCCATAATTAGGTGACTGAACCACAGCAAATGGAGGTGGTCGTTTTATTAAACATCTAGCGAGGCAGGTTGTTAAAGCTGTTTTTGGAAAGCACACTTCGGCTGAACCGAAAATGTGAGCCTGGAACTGGGGTGGAGAAGAGGGGCCTTTCTGAGATTTAACTGAGATGGTGGAGAGACTGAAGAATGTCAGGGTGATGGATAATGGGGACCTTTGGTGGTTGTGAATTCCTGCAACAGAGAAACGTGGATCCTTGAAAGGAAAATTTCAAACTAGCAGTCCAGAAACTGTGCTCTTAGGGACTTGATTTCAGAAGTTCGGGAACTTAAAAAATAAGTAAAAGGACAGCATAATCTTGACAACATTTTCAAGGCCCATGCACATTCTTATAAATGACAAATTAGGAGTGTGCTTACTGCCAAGACCTTAATCCAAACCTAAGTTTTAATTTTCTTATTAGTATAGTTATTATCATAGTAATACCCTCTCTCATCCATTTGTGGAGACCATTAAATGAGGTAATGCGTGTAAAGCACTTAGCAAAATAACCAGCTCAGTGTTTGTAGAGGATTGACTTTAGGTTCATGAAGGGAACCAAAAAAACCAAAGTCTCCATCTGCTCCTGGAGCCGCTCATTCCTAGTACCATGCTCCTTCCCAGCCCCTTACAGTTCTGGACAAGAGGCAGAGGCCTCCACCTTTTTTAACTCTTAAGAGTATCTGACTCCTTCCCAGCCCAATGTGGAATTTTATCCGTCTCACTAAAAAAGATATGTGAAATGAAAACAATTGTTCAATATTTAATTTTGTAAGTCTAAACATATCCACTATTTTAGTAATGTCTTCTGTTGGATTTTTTTAGTGAAATATTTTAATCATGCAAAAAAGAATAGAGAACTATAGTTGTTGTACCATACCCTGGGTAGGAAATATATTTCTTTATGCTTTTGGACTTTTTAGAGGAAATCTGGCATCTTATCTATAGTTGAAATTCTTTTTTGCCACCCCTACTCCCCACAACCACCCCTTAGAACTTCTTCAATTCTGTCTTTCCATAGTGGCTCACAGGACATACCTGGTGGGTATTTGTGCTCACAGATGCTAACTTTTCTCCATTCTCACTCCCAGTCATCTGCTAGGTTTGCTGCTTATAGCTTATCATGAGGAATATGGCCATCAATTTGGTTCTGTCCTTGTGGCATTTGTTCTCTTACCCTCTTAAGAAACCTGCCTTTAAAAAACAAACAAAAAAAAAAACCCTCCAATATCTGTGGAATGACCTCATGATAGGCTGTTGCAGACTGTCACAAGCTGATGAGCATATGTCATCTGATTGGCTTTTATCAGGCCACTGTTCCCTTCAACAAGGTCCACTGTCTTTATCTAGGATAAATTTTCCTCACTTCTCTAGGGACAGGCACAATTGTTCCACACTTTTAGGAAAAAGTGACCTTCCAATAGTCAAGTGTACTATTTTATAAAATGAGATTTTTAAAATTCAGAGTAATAGCAACCATTTTCTGAGCATGTAGGTATCAGGCTTTTCTAACTAAGCACTTAGTATAGTCTTTAATTCTCATTACAACTATGCCACAAGTGGTAAAACTCCTATTTTAAAATGAGCAAACTGAGTAACATTAGGTGTCAACAGCAATTTCAGCCTAGAATGATCTCTGTACAGTATGTAATTATTTTGCCACCAATAGGAAAGTTGTCAGTACAGAATGAAGTTTGGCATTGACACGGGTTCTTTTCGACCTTCCTGCCCCACAGTCCCGGCTCCCTCAGGTGCAGGAAGCACCTGGGAGGAGGCCTCCTTCAGCATAGCCAGAGATGGCATCAGTGGACTTCAAGACCTACGTGGATCAGGCCTGCAGGGCTGCTGAGGAGTTTGTCAACGTCTACTACACCACCATGGATAAGCGGAGGCGACTACTGTCCCGCCTGTACATGGGCACAGCCACCCTAGTGTGGAATGGAAATGCTGTTTCAGGACAAGAGTCCTTGAGTGAGTTTTTTGAAATGTTGCCTTCCAGTGAGTTCCAAATTAATGTCGTTGACTGCCAGCCTGTACATGATGAAGCCACCCCAAGCCAGACCACAGTCCTCGTTGTGATCTGTGGAACAGTAAAGTTTGAAGGCAACAAACAACGGGACTTCAACCAGAACTTCCTTCTGACTGCCCAGGCTTCACCCAGCAATACGGTATGGAAGATAGCAAGTGACTGCTTCCGATTCCAGGACTGGGCCAGCTAGTAGAACTGGAGGGAAACACAGATCTCAAAATGTGGGTACACAAGTTCTTTTCTGTTGTAAGCTACACTGCCCAGGCTGAACTCTGCATTTATTTGAGTTCAAGGAGCCCCTTTCTGAGTATACTTACTTGTCATAGTTGCCTTTTCATAGTAGTAAAATTTTCTATTTTTCTACTTGTCCAGTAGAGACCCTGGTTCTGGAAATTCTGACAAATAAAACATTAATATAAATATTCCTTTTCTCTTGCCTGATGTGTCTGACTAGGTTTTAAGGAGAAGGCAGTAAGTTAAAGGCAGTAAGCTTTGTAAAAGGCACTTGCAGAAGTGTGAGATTCAAGGCCAAGCACCTGCACCAGGCACAGGTGTGGACCCAGGTGTAGTGGAACTGGGCTTCACAGCCATTCCCACACTGTAATTTCTTGAGACGTACTGAAATTATCTTTGCTCAGGCCACACATCTCAGACCAGTTATCCTGAATATCTGAAGGTAGAACTGGGCACTGGCATTTTTCAAAAGCACCCTAGGTGTCTTAATGTGTAGTTCACTTTAGAATATATTAGAATCACCTAACGGAGGTGGAGTGAGAGCAGGTGAAATACTAAAGAGCTCATAACTGCTTGTAAATGAAGCAGCTATATTAACTAATCTCTTATAAAGAGAAGGTGAAGAACTGCTTTTATGAGGAAGAAGTTCTGAGGTTGGGGTGGGAGAGGCAGCAGAATTAGAAGCTAGTCTTTTTGACACTGAAGAACAACTGTATAATTGCATTACTCCAAAGTAAAAAGAAGGGATAGAAAACTAGAACGTTTCATCATCCTTTGACCAGTAAGTGAGATCTTGTGGCTACATGGCTTCTCCAGTTAAATTTTCTTTGCCGGGTTTGGGGTGGGGTTGTGGGTTAAGATGTGGAAAGGGAAAATTGAAAAGGTAAAGAATACTGATGTATACAGTGGCACAGATAACAGTTTTCCTCCCAATACCCTTCCCCTTCTGTAGTTACTAAAAACCAATGTTTAGTGAGACAAAGTACCTACGTAAAAGAGGACTTCCCAGCTTGGTTTATAGCTGTTTGACATGTGACCACCCAGTCCCAGCCAATAATGTAGAAATCGAAGGGCTGGATTGGTAGGAGAGTCTTGCTTCAAAAGACTCTTTTTCCTCTGTCTTGCTGCCTGGAAGACAGCAGTGATGGCTGAACCACTGGTTTGTGTTGAGCTGGAGGGAGCCTAGGTCCCTGGTGATCATGTGAAACCACCAAAAAAATCCTATCTTTAAGCCATTACTGGTTCATGGCCTGTGTCATATACTGTAGCAAAACCTATTCCCAAGTGAGAAAAAAGGTGTGCAATGGGCATACAGTGGGTATGCCCCAGTCAGGGAATTGCTCTGCCAAGGCACTGTGGGGAACCAAAGTAGGCACAGGTGTGTTCCTTCCTGTCAAGAGGTCCGTAATCAGGAGGCAAGACACTGAAATGGTAAATTCAGTTTCAAAGCCACATAAAGGTTCAACTAGTCACATAGATGATGTGTGCATAATAAGAAAAGACAAGCAATTCGGCTGGGATACTGGTAAAATATCGTACATTAAGGAGACAGGAGAGTGAGGTTCCAAACCAAGATGTAGAACTGTCTGAGATCTTGGAGCACTGTCCCTCAGGGAGGAAGTTGGAGTGGGGTGGACACATTAGTGCAGAGATTGATTTGGAGGGAGATGCTGCTAGTCTTCAAATCTCAAATTCCTCTCCCCTTAAGGGACCAGGTAGAATGCCACCTTCATTAGCACAGGCCTGGATAGAGGACACAAGTCCCATCAGGCCCTGAAAGAGCTTAACATGAACTCCCTGGAGTCTGAGTCACTGGCCTGAGAAGCTTCAAAACAACAGCTGTTGTCTCCAAGGAGCAATAGATTTGGGAAAGATATAGGTGGCATATTCTGAAGGGCACTAGGATAGGCCTCAAGTGCCCCCCCCCCCGCCCCCAGTATCCATTTGCCTCTCCTTCAGGAACAAGGGAAAATGGGTTTTTGGCTCAGAAAATATTGAGAAGACAAGCCTTCCTTCAACCACCTAGTTAGGGTGGCCCTGCAACTCTGGACCAAGTAAGTTGTGACACACTTGAGGGAAGTCTTAAAAGATTGGGGCAGCCAATCTTCCCTCCCAACTTTAATACTGTTGTTTGGGAAGCAGTTATGAGGACTGATGTTCTAGCAGTTGTACAGGGTCATGAGGCCCATTTTGGCCACATGAAAGGGATGGAGGAATGGAAAGCAGGACCTACAGGACCTGTCAGCCTCATGGAGCTCCTCTAGCTTCTCTCAGAGGAGCAAGAAATACATTTATATCTTATTGTAGCCAGTGTTTTTCAGGGGCCTTTTTTAATATAGCAAAACCACCGGTGATAAACCGGAGAAGAGTATGTGCAACAAAGGACAGGCCCTATTTCCATAATGGCACAAGAAAAGAAATAGGCAAAGGAAATGATACATAAATTCAGTCAAGGTCTGCAATGGACACTGGTAGTTTCCCCACATCCATCCTTGTCACCATTGCATAGCAGCCACCTTGGTGATGGCAGGAGGTACCACACTCCCATCTGACTGACAACAGCAAGGAAGCCTCCAACTCCCCAGTGCTTATCAGGATGGGCCTCAATGCCAGTGTCTATTGCCTCATAAAGAGGGGAGGCAGGGTGTTTCAGGGAGAGATTTCCTGGGAGAAAGCCTTTCCCCTGCTCCAAGGTCCCTATACTATCTCCTCAGGAGGGGAAGAGTGGTGAGGTGCCATCTCCCTCGCCTCTTGTGCAGAGAGAAGGGACTTAAACAGGACCTGCTGAGTTAAGGAAAAATGGTCTGGAGTCTACGTGATCCCAATGAACACGGGACATAAAATGCAAACACCCCGCTACTGTCTCTTAAGGAGAGGATTTCTTGGGATGATAAGGACCACTGAAACAAGGCTGGAAAGACCTTGCTTTGACTTCCCAAGAAAACCAGGAGCCTAAGCATAAGATGGGTTTAAAATTACTCTTGAAAACAACATCTAATGTAAATGCAGATGTAGTTTATAGACATGAAGACATCTGCCCTGCCACCCTCCATTAGAGCCAGGACTCTACTGCTGCCTGCTTTCGGCCACCATCCTGCTCAAGGCTTTACAATTACTATTTAGTTGTCATCTCCCAGCTCTGGGTAAGGTGAGCCAGGTGGTCACTGGCTAGCATGAAGTGTATAAGATGACCCTATTCCCAGAACATTCTGTCTTTTAAGAGGAGAAGTGGGGCCAGAAAGGATAAAGTTTTAGACTTTAATCTCCCGCTTTAGGCTGAAAATGAGCTATTTCACTCTCTCTACGGTGGTTTGCAGGTCTGTGAGTGTGCGTGTGTGTGAATTCCTGTGCATGCAGTTCAGCCAAGGAACTTGGCCTCCTCTTGTCCCACCACAGGAGTCCCTCCCCAATACAAACCCCCAACAACCCCCAATCCCAAATACATAAAGCTGGCAACATTTCCACTGTATTTTTATTTTCAGAATTTCAGAACTTAGGCCTTTTATAGGGCAAGGAAAAAATAGGTTGGTAAAGGGAAGTAAACATAACATCAGACAGGCTACTAGTATGCACAGTGTGAACTGTGGCAGCCCCTCCCTCCACAAGGAAAACGTGGCTTCTACATTAGAAACCACAGGGAGGGTGCCTGGCGCCCACCACCTCCCTCAGCTGGGAGTAACCCTGCATGACCTCCTATTTCTGTGTGGTTAGACCAGGTAGCAGTTTCAAAATGAAGGTCTGGTGGAAGGTGCATTGTGAATGGCCCTCAAACTTCACTGTCCCACAAAGCACAATGAGGATCCTCATCTTGTCCATTTCTGAGTGCTTCACAGTGGACTGTGCTGACATAGAATGAGTTGGAGAGCAGTGAGCTGAAAAACTCACCCAGAGCTGCCTGCCTGGGGACTGGGCGTTCATCCCACATCAGCATGGCCTCCTCCACCTCCAGCAAGGACAGCTTGTCTCTGCTCATCCATGCTGGTGCGGTAAACATTGACAAGCTTGGTGGCAACCTTGCAACACTGGCTTGTGCATTCTTGAAATACAATGAAAAGATCACAACCTTGGGTGCTGGACAAGGCTGCCTAGGAAAAGCTTCCCATTTGGGACGTTAGAAACTACAAGCCTGGATGTAGCCCCAGATGGCATTTTCAAAGCCTGATCCCTATTTCCAGATGCACTCTAGAGACCTTCTAGACCAGTGCTTCTATAGACCATCACCTGGACATTTGCTAAGGATTCAGGTTCATGAGCCCCACCACCAACCAAACAAGCCATCCATGAAAGCTCTGATGCTCAAAAAGGCTGGAGGACCACTGATTTATTGGAACATTCACTCTTTTCTTTCACTGGGAGACTGATTTGTCAGAGAAGTGTGAAGGTTAAAAATGGGCATCGCAGAACCCCAGCTAGTGTCGCTCAGTGGGTTAGGTGCTGGTCTGTGAATGGAAAGGTCACTGGTTTGATTCCCAGTTGGGGCACATACCTGGGTTGTGGGCCAGGTCCCCCAGTTAGGGGCATACAGAGGCTGCCAACTGATGTTTCTCTCACACATCAATGTTTCTCTCCCTCTCTTTCTCTCTTCCTCTCTAAAAACAAATAAAATCTTTTTTTAAAAAAGTTAGGCATTGAAGAGACACCAACAAGGCCCAAATTTCAGCTGCTGCTCAGCATCTGAAGCTTCAGTTTCCTCTTCTGCATAGTGGGGCAGTATTATACCTGGCATAAGTGTTTGCAGTATTTGTAGGACAGAGCCTGCTATATGGATCACGGTCAACAAAGGTAGCAGGATCAGTGTGCACCTGCTGAGCCTGGAACTGACCACATTTAGAAGCTTCTTGATTTCTGGCACTTCCTTAACATTGAATCTGAGTTAAAATGGTTCACCAGCTCCCCCTCAGTTTTTCTCACTGTCCATTTCACACCCCACACCCCATTTCACTTCTACCAGAATGCTCCAAGTAACTGCCCTTCACCCCTTACCCTCCCCAGACCCAACTCTTGTCCCTCCCACCTCTGCCCATTCAGGGACTTACAACTTCTCCCTCAGACTACCCAAGACTTCCGTCAGCTCCCTGGCCACCCTTCTGCTCTGCCTCTGTGGCTTTTATCAAACTGAAACCAAAGCCACGGTAAGAAACCAACAGACTTTGCTTTGTCA